TCTCCTCAGCCCTGGGGAGGCCTCCCCTGGAGTACTGTGTCCAGTTCTGGGCTCCCCAGTCCAAGAGAGACATGGCACTACTGGAGAGAGTCCAGCGGAGGGCTACCAAGATGATTAGAGGGCTGGAGCACCTCTCCTGTGAAGAAAGACTGCAAGAGCTGGGCCTGTTCAGCCTGGAGAAGAGAAGATTGAGAGGCGATCTCATCAACGTGTACAAGTATCTGAAGGGGGAGTGTCAAGAGGATGAGGCCAATCTCTTCTCCGTGGTGCCCAGCAACAGGACAAGAGGCAACGGGCAGAAACTGAAGCGCAGGAAGTTCCATCTGAACCTGAGAAAAAACTTCTTCACTGTGAGGGTGACAGAGCATTGGAACAGGTTGCCCAGAGGGGTAGTGGAGTCTCCTTCGCTGGAGATGTTGAAAACCCGCCTGGATGTCATCCTGAGAAATATGCTCTAGAGGACCCTGCTTGGGCGGGGAGGTTGGACTAGATGATCTCCAGAGGTCCCTTCCAACCTCAACGATTCTGTGATTCTGTGAAGAGGGGAGCTTTGCACTTTAGTGATCGCTGTATCTCTCTCTCTCTCTGAAGCAATTAATACATAACTGTTTCATGCCATGGTCATGATGAACAATCTTAGGCTTAGTCTGGAGCAAGAAAGTGTTAAGTCAAGTCAGATACTAGAAAAAAAAATTGGTGGTAATTGTAGTGAGAACTTTGAAGCCTTTGTCACTGGAGAGCTTTAAAAGCATGTTAAGAGTCATCTGCTTAAGTCTCATGTGCCTGTGCCTGTACAGGGTGGTGCTGATAATACATGAAATAACTTTCTAAAGGGTGTTGTGTTTTAGAACAAGATTTTTGCAATATGATCTTGTTATTGAGAGGAAACTGTTAGTTATAACTAAGTGCGCTTAAGGAGAAACCAAGAGTGGCTTTATTTTTTTTAATTTTTTTAATTTTTTTTATTTTTTAGTGTAGCTTATGAAAAATAGGCCATACAAATCAGGTATGGCAAAAGAACTTGCCGCAGTAGTTAATAGTTGCTATTAACACAGTTTGAACGGCTACATGAAGCTGATGATCGATTGATAAAAGCCAAGAGCTTGCTTTGTGATGCATAGAGGCTGTCATGCCAGCATTCAGTCCATGAGTGGGCTCCCCTATGCTGTAAGGTGGGCAGCAGTAAAGCTGGAGTTTGGTAAAATGTAGTGAAAAGTTCAAGTAAGTGACTGTTAACTTGGACCACTGCTCCTTTGCTCTTCACTGCTCTCATGCTGCTGAAGCCTTAGTGGTGCCTGACACAGTTTTGAAGGTAGCCCAGTACCAGTCTGCTAGGGAGCCTGGTACCAGACTGCCAGGGAGCTGCATGGAGGCTGATGTTGCTTTGGCAGCAGAGGAATTTGGGGCGGGGGGAGCTGCAGCATCCACGTCTACTGAACTGGCGCCAGAGCAGCCACAGACCAGCATCTTTGACGTCAGGCTCTGCAAAATCATTGGAACGAGGTTGCTTTCTACTGCATCTGGCCCTCATGTGAACTTGGCTTTGCTGTTGTTTGGTGGTCTATCACAACTATGAGTACTCTAAGACCTCCATCGTGATCCTGGGCTTCTGGTACCATTCGCTAACCAGTTGTTAAGGTTTTAAGAATGGCAATCCTCAGCAATTTCACTGTTATTTCCAGCTTTGCTCCTTTCATGCTTTTCTTCCTACCACAAGAGATACTGGAACTTTGGCCATCCCTCTCAGATAAGAAAAATGCGTAAGAACATGCAAGGCTTACCGCTTTTACTGACTGCTGTGTTACTGCTTTAAGAGGAGCAATATGACACAGTGGTATCCACTGTCTACCTGGCAAAGCTTACAGGTTCTGTTTAGACCCTTGAATAAAGCAGCTGTCTCCCTTGCACAACGCATGGGGAAGTGGCACTCAGGATCCCTATAGAGAAGTCTCACAGGTGAGTTGGTAGACAATCACATTGGCCCTCATTTCCTGCCCCTCATCAACAGGGGAAGCAGTGTGAAGTTTAAATCAAGGGGCCCACCCTCTATGTAATATACTCTGCTTTGCTGGTCACAGTCAATGCTAGGAAGGCAAACATTAAGCAAGCAGCAAGCAGCCCCTGTCTACTAAAACCCCCCCTCTCTACTACATCACTTACTTTCAAGTGATGGTAAGAGAAGGGTTAAGTTTTGGCCGTGTTGTTTCCTCCTTGCTCCCTAGGAAATGAAAATAGAGGAGCTTAGCTCTTTGCTTACCCGCACCTCCACGGCCAATGAACACAATTTGTGGGGGAAAAAATTGAGCTCATTCTATAGAAAGTACAATAAAAAAAATTACAGCACCATCCCAAGGCCAGATCACTTTAACCAAGGCACAGCTTAGGGACAGAACATGTCCCATCTCCACAGAGCGCACATCGAGTTATGTCAAAATGAATTTGGGCTATGAGAGTAACAGCTCACCCATCGTCCTGCAAGTTCAGAGAAAATTGTCTTTCAAGTTTGAAAACAAAAAATTCTTACCTCAGACTACGAAATAGGACAGCTATTAGATACTTCCACTCCAGTAAACAAAAATGTCTTTGTGTAAGTAGTGCAGCTGCATCAGTGTCTCTTGCAAGCAAAAATTAGAAACATTTTAAAAAGATGTTGAAATAAATTTTAGTGGTAATGTGCAATTATGAAAATTGTCATGAAACGTACGAAAACTCAATATTTCTATTAATAACAGTCATGTTCACACAACAGAATACAACTATAAACATTATTAAAGTTTTATTAACAAAACTTTGTACATATCTTTTCATACACTTGGAATTTTACATCTAGTCAAAATAACAGCACGCTTTCATTTTACCATTTGTACAAATTGTTACAGAATATTCACCAGTGGGTTGAGTAAGTAAAATAAACCACTGATTTACTTTTGTAAAGTATCTACAAAAGTGATTTGTGACATTTTAAAAAATTCCCCAGAACATATAAAAATAAATTATTTTTCCTTTTTCAATTAAATCTACTAATTAGAAATATTACAAATCAAAATATCAATGTTTTCTTATGAATTTTTCACAATACAAAACAGATTCACAAAACTTTATTTACAGAAATGAGGTAAGAACTGTGCAATGTTTAACTAAGAAACATATTGCAGAATTAACATGTTCTTCCAAATAAGTACACAGTGGAGGTCTAATTACAGCTGGGTCTTTTCCTCTAATAATTCCCACCTTAATTTTGATTAGTGGTCATTGCCCCAATTTAAACTATACTTCACTACACTGCATAGTCACGCGTGAAATCAGCTACTGTAGGTGGAAGTGTTCTAACACAAGTTCACCCGTTTCAACCACTGATAAATTTTAGTGGGAAATATTAACTCACTTTTTTTGGTAATTTATTAGTGAAAAGTGACCCAGGTAACAATCTGCCTGAGCTGTCTACAGTGGTATAAACACTTCTAGTAAAGGCAGAACAACAAGGTAAAACCTGCTGCTAACAAGGACACGTCTAGTGCATGATCAGCTGTTTGCAGCCATTCCAGCAAAACAGAGGTAGCAACAGGCACTTGGTTTAAGCCAGACACTGCACATACTTTTCCAGTGTGGCCTTCTCATCTGGTAAGAAAAACTTTTCCATTTGAACCAAACTGGTTTCTTTAAAAACCTCAGAACTCTAAAACCTGCACCAAAACTAATCAACTTTGGATTCCATACTGTAGTTCTTATTCAGGAAAAACTCGCACTATGTATCAAGAGGAATTCAAAGGAATAAAAAGTTCAAAAGTGGATTCCCTTATGAGTCAGATTTCAAAATACGTGTGTAAAAAAGAACAACAAACAGCAAATCCAGACTGCCATTACAAGCTTAGTCTAAAAGGGTATATTGCAACTGCAGCAGATCAGACTGGCTGGGGGGAAAGGGGGTGGGGTATTTTTTTTTTTTTTGTTTTTTATTTTTTTTAAACTACTGCTCTGAAACCAAAGTAATCCATGACTGCAGACAGTTTACTAGTCTTTGAATTTATAATAAGATTAGTACTCAAGAATCAGGCATATATGAGTTTTCTATGTTTGAATTTGTACTTAGTACCGTCATATTGACAAAATAATTATGGTTTGCAGAATTTTATCTACTTCACAGTTTGAAACATGAAAAAGTACTTCCATTTTAGTGCAACAAGAAAGTAAATCAAAGCCTACCAAGAATATCCTTATTGAAGCCTATTAACCTTTTGCTGTGCAGTAAGAGTTCCTTGTTGCATTTCTTCATATCTGCAGAAAGGAAGACTGCAGTTAGCAGTCAGACGAAGTGCTATAACAGCAGGACGTGCAGTTCTCAAGTATCATTCAAATGTCAACTCTTCTCTGATGCAACTGGTCCAGTTTTATCATTGAGCCTCTGTGCAAGAGAAAATACTTCTAAAAATCAGATTATAAAATACAGAGCTAAGTAAAAGTAAACTCATGCAAATGACAAAGCAGAGCTGAAATACACTGTGGACAAAGCAGCAGATGAGATAAAATACAGCTATCTAATCAGTAAGTAAATTATTCTTGCATTGTAAAGAACAATCCTGTATCATAGAACAGAAGTGGAAAAGGAAAGAATAATTAAAGGAGGAGGACTACACTGAAATAACTCCTATTTAATTAAGCTTTCACAGCTAGCATTATGCAACACAAACTTTGCTTCCACTTCCATCCCAACAAGAGTTTCTGTTCCTGGCTCTTGGAACCAGATCTCCCCCTGGGTCCACACGATAGCCCAGAAAATACCATGTAACCTCTGCCACTTTTTACCCACTGGAGAGAGGTTGATGAAACAGAAGATTTTTCACTAGATCCAAAACCCAAAAACATACAAACAACACACTGTCATCCAGGGACTCAACCTTTTACATCTATCTGCTCTCTCAGATTAGGGCTACAATTTCTATGTCCCCTCACTGAGTTTCCCTTCTCTGGCAATATACCTTGCATGATTATCAGTTCTTTCATAAATCACTACCAAAGATGTTTTCTGCAAGTACCAAACAGGTACAAAAAAATCCATTTTACTCACTGAGCATTCCGAAATGCTTCAAAAACTTGTTCCAATTGGAAATGGAATAAAAACATTCAAAATATTCTGTCTCAAGTCCAACTTTTTTTTTTTTTTGAAAAAATACCTGCAATTAAAAACATTTATTCTTATTTTGTTTGGAAGAAATTCAAGTTTTCCTTGAATTCTTTCCACCTAACTGTTACAAGGACGAAAACTAAGATTATAACAACATATCTAGAAAATGTCCTAGTGCTGCACAGTCACTCTGTCCAGACCTAGTAATAGTCATTTGTAAAAATCCCAAATAAACAGATCTATCACAAAATTATTGCTTTTTCAAAAATCAGGGGAGATACATACTAGAGCAATTAGTTTACATTTCTAAATGGGGGTCACAAAGCATTGAGCCCTTCCGCTCTTCCACTCAGTGACCAGAAAAGAACGCGATCTTACTGAATCTTGTAGCACAGTCTGCAATACCACAGTAATGGACCAGGTCAGAAAATGACAATAACCACGCACACAAAGCTTAGTAAACGTACATGCTTGTATTTCGGAATAGATGGGAAAGATTTGCAGGGAAACTGTCTTGAAAATTCACCAGCTACATTGCGTGTCTCGCCTTAAATTTGGGGCAATGCCATCAAGGTACTGCAAAGCCCAGCTGCCTGAGCTCCTCTCCACCACCGTGGCGCTAGTCCCAGCAGTGCCCATAATGCAGCTGGAACTTTGGGGGTGGGGAGCCCAACACCTGACCCTAAACTCTTCCCACCCGTTGCTGCAGAACGACTTCCCTTTTCTCACTGCTGTTTGCACTTCAGGTCTTCTCCAAGGAATACTAGGACGTCTGTCTTCCTTCTCCTACCCCTCCTTTGTTATTTACAAGCTCCATGTGCTCCTTCCCTCCATCCTCCCCTCTCTAACTGCATGACCGTGACTCTCTGAAGAGGAATGAAAAAAATAATGCTTGTCTTGGGGATGGAGGTTAGGGAAGAAAAGCATTGTAGATAATGGGACATCTTTGCCTGAAAAAAAAATCTGTCTTTCCTATCTGTCCAGAAAAAGTTTTACTACTATATTAAGCAAGGCAAGAGTTGCTCCGCCTCCCAATATACATCCTCACCTTTTCACACCAGAACCTAAATTCATATAATGCATTCTCCTAATACATATTTCACCTTCCTAGCTGACAGCTGCTCACCTCTCAAGACATCAAACTATCAGCTGCTATACTGCAGCTAAGCTTTGCAGTTCCACAGTGCCTGACCAGGACAAACTCTTCAAGTAAGGTGATAAAGGAAAAAAAAAAATCTACCAGTGGACCCAGACCTGGGGAAGGTGGGGCGAGGAGGACTAGAATCACAGTTTGGCAAGATACATAAGAGAAGGGCAAGGGCAACTGACTGGAGTCTTGATCCAAGGAAGCAGGAGTGTGTAGCAGAGACAATAGGTGTTAGGGAATATAAGTTCACCAGGTCCTGGACCTCAGGAACTGCTGCTGAAGCCTTAAACAATCAAACAAAAAACAAAACATACCCACACCGAATAAAAAACCCACCAACCTTGAGTTGTGATTACATACATATAACTTGTTTATCTTTTAATTACCTTATGAAGAGACTTCATTAAAAATGAGGTGAGAAATATACTTACTGTCACCTTCTGAGCTGCATTATCTCCATGAATTGTAAGGAATGGGTTAGTAGTAGCTGCATTAAGCGGTGATGGCTGTGTGCCTGAAAGCAAGTTGTTTATGGGTATCTGTGCTCCTCCGGTAATCTGCAGTTGCTGTACTTCAGACTGATGGTGTTGATGGTGATGGTGCTGTTGCTGTACTAATTGATACAAAAGGGCTTGATGCTGTTCCTTGAGTAAGGTGAGGGGAAAAAAAGTAATCAAGAATTAGTTAATGAATAATAAATCCTCCCTGGGTTCTTGCTTGCCCAAATCTTTAGCCAGGGCAAGCACTAACTTAACGCCAGTTAATTTAGATTACACTAATGAAATTCCACAAGACTGAGGGCAAAGGAAGAAAATGCCTGGAACATTTCCTGAAATCAGCAGCTTAGCAGTTCAGCTAAGTCTGCTGGCTTTGCCAAGCCACCATCAGAAGAAACATATCTGAGAAGAATGTCAAACCATGTTTGTCAAAGTACTAAAACCATGCAAGTAACACCAGAGATAGTTAAAATAGCTGCCAAGTGGTATATATGAATACTGTAGGGCAGAGCAGAGACAGCTCCTGATATGATTCTCAAAATTTTTTCTGCTATCATCTTAGTGGAATCAGGGAATGGATTAGGATACTGTTAGAATCGATACTTGTTCCCAAATTCTACTGCCCACAGTTAATGCTGAGAGAGACAAGCTACCATGTCCACAGAGGATGAAATGGGACTGAAAGCACTAGGCAACAGTTCCTCTAGCAATGCACTCAGCTCAACGGCACGCTGTAATTTAGCACGACTGTATCATCCCAAAACACTGAAATCACTCAAAACTTAAAAGATTTTCAGAAGTGGTAGTATGTTAAACATCTCTAATATTTATATTGTACTGAGGAGTCTGTCCATGCCTTATATTTTAAGAGCAATAATTCATAATTAACTAAAACTTACTGATGTGAGTTGCTGAGTACTTAGTAATTGCTGAAATTGCTGGTGCTGTTGATGGAGTAGAAGCTGTCTCTGTTGGTCAGGAAGTAATCCTAGTCCTGAGGCACTGTAGGGTTTGACAGGGCAATACTGTAGTTTATACGAAAGCATGGGAACTTTTTACTTCAGCTTTGCATTGAAACAAAGATGTGTATAAATACATAGCTCCTATTTAGCATTTTGATTGTATACTGTCAAATATGAAATAAAGAGTCTATCTGGCCATTTACATTTTTGTTGATACACACACAGACATTGTCAGTCTCCCTCCCTCTCCACCCCTGCAAGTCCTGTTGATAACGCTTTTTCATTCACTTTGAGCAACAGCAACATCTAGCCTGTAACTTACGTTCTCTACCTATGTATTATTTTAAACTTAGATAATGATGGTAATATCTAAATCTATTTTTCACGTGGAAGTGCCTGAACAGATTTTGAAGCTTGGAAAGTTACCAAGAGTAGCAATTTACAGCAACATGTGGGAATTCTTTTAATTATAGAACAGTACAAAAAGGTTTGAAAGTAGAGCTGTTCTCTCATGTGACTGTCCATCATCTTCGGAGTACCGATTTAAACGAGCTCCAAACTCATCCACCACCGTGTGATCTAACCATGTTCAGAAAGCTCAAAATAGCATGACCGTAAACTTGCCTGTCTGTGCCTGTGTCAGTTTAACCCTTCTACTTAGGCAATTCAAAAATTAGGAATTTAGTATTACAGAAATAGCCAGCTATTTGAAACTGAAACAGCACTGAGCTCAAGAGTAGCAAGAGCAAATAGCGTTCAATGCATTTTCAGAAACAACAGTTTCAAACAGTGGAAACTACCTTTATGCTTTTTTTTTTCCTCTCTATTTTTTCTTCATCCAAAGCCATGTCAGGGCCTTTCCACAGCCTAATTCATTCCAATAACAGAAAGGTTTTCTTATGTCTTTCACAGAAAAGAATTCTTAATGAAAGAAACAGGTATAAGGAATATACATCTCATTACTAAAACTGCATTAACAGCATTAATGCTTGCTTGGGCTGAACTTTTTTCCTCTGAATATACAACTAAAAATATTGAAATCTCATAGGAAAAAGGTCATCATAAAGCATCTCAAACAGAAGGGGAACCAGGGAATCACCTGAGTGAGCTTTATAAAGCAAGAGAATTGTGGGGAAAAAAATACACTAATACTAGTATTACTGAGGGAGCAACGGAGAAAGATCATGCAAGAGAGAAACAGAGAAAGGGAAATACCCTCAGTTATACAGCATAAACTTGTGGTAGCACAGACTGGGGAATCACTGGAGTATTCCAGACAGGATGATAAAGGTTAGAATGAGAGCAACAGAACAGGAGACTAGTCGTAATACTCTGCTTGACTTGGAGTAGTGTATTACTAGGCTACACACTACGTTACGGAAGTTAAGATGGATACAAGAATAAACAAAAGAACTTCTGCAATGTAAGCAGAATCAAAATCATATGAGAAAAACAGAAGTGTTTGGACGTGACCAATATATTTTAACATTACCTGAAAGTGGAAAGCAGCATAAAACTTATTATTGATATTAACCAAGTATTTTTCATTATAAAGGACTCCTCCTCACACCGCTGGGAAGAGTAACTAAACTTTCTAGTGTTTTCAGCAGACCTCTGATACTCAAGAAAGGAGATACATCTTTTCATTACAGCAATGTCTTTTGTTTAGCCTAGGAAATTTTATTTTCCTTATGTGATATAAACCAAGAAAAATATAACCTCCTCAATATAAATATAACAGCACACCAAAACAGCAGTACACTTGAAAGTATCAGGTTTATGAGCCTAGTGAAGCAATACTAGACAATGACACCGTACGAGAACATTCAGGAGCTGCCTAAGGAACAGTGTAGAAAGAAACTGGATAAAGCAGCTACAAAAACAGGGATCCCTTTCATCTTTCCAACCAGATATGCTTTTTTCAGGGGGTAATCTACCATAATATGCAAAAATACTACTTAAAACCCACTCCCTTTTTGCATGCAGTTCTTTCTACATAAAACTGCAGTTCTCTTTCCCAAGTGGAAGGACAATGCGAGGAGATGGGGGCAAGGGAAACAGGAAAAAGAAAATGAGTTTGTTCAGGCTTTCCTCCGCCTCAAAGTACTTTCAGACCAAGCAGTCCATTCCCTTCTTGGAAAGTAGCTGCCTCCTTTTGTTATCTGTTTGCCTTGCAGCTCAAGCAGCAGCAGTTTGCACTGCTTATGATACCTGTTTGGTGGGAAGGGCTATTTATTCCTAATAAGCATACATGGGTCTTTTCACACATTTAAAAATTCTTAAGGAATGCCACTCTAATTTTGTTGTCAGATACTGAGAACTGTAAAAACACCATGCAACTGCACTGCTACTCTAGTGAGGTATGCCTACTGCATCTTTTATTATACAAGTATACACTGTTCTCCTCCTCCTCCCCCTCTCCGCTTCATACTGCAACACAGAGTAGCGTTTCCAGTGATACTTCAGTCCTGGAAGAACAGTTGGCAGGACCAAGAATATTCTTTTCTGAACTAAAAAAACCTAAAGCGTGTTTACAAAGTTACATTTGTTTTAGAATGTGACTTGATTTATAAAACAGGAATAAACGGACACTAACTATGATCCCCTAAAGCTCAACGAAAAATACCTTTTCTCTAACTTGACTATTCATGCTTCCATTTAATTCCTTTCTTAACTTCCTACACAGAACAGGAAGAGAACCTAGTTAGATAATGAGAGGCTAAGAAAAAAAAACACTTTTGCATAAAGCAGCTTAAAAAATTTAACTAACTGAGGAACAGCAGACACTGTCAAGAAGAAAATAAATTGGTAAATTCTTACCTGTTATTGGGTGGCACGGTTGCATGAGTGAGAGGAGAAGGGTTCTGTGATATTGTTGCCGGGGTCTGAATTACCCCATTTAAAGCCCCTACAATTCCATTGATTGCCAGCTGGTTAGCTGGCAATGCTCCAATTATTCCACCCACACCAGGCACTGCAGGAATGGTGGAGGTTACAGTCTGCATACCACTAGCTAGTGCCCCCACTGTCACACCATTGACCTGTTGAACTCCTGTGACTCCTGAGCCTTGCTGAGCTGGACTCTGCCCAGCAGGTGGTGGAGTGGAAAGAGCTGATGAACTGCTGGTGCTTTGTCCGCTGGAGGTTATCTCCTAGTGTAAAAACAAACAACAAAACTCCCTCAGCTGCATAAAATTTCACATAACAGCAAAATGCAAGGACTATGAGGAGTTAGCTTGTAACAAATTTAAGTTTAGAAGCAACAAATAATATTACCTGATTTAATACAGGAAGAGAATTGTCTGGTAAAAAACTGTTTCCCAGATGAGGGCTTTTACTGCTGTTCAAAGAATCAGTGCTAGGTGCTAAAGAAATTAATCAAAAAAAATACAGGGTTGTTAAATTTCTATAAAGTGTAAAGAGATTCAGAATAATTATTTCAAAATAGTTTCAAAGGCCAAACCAGAACATGTAAAGCTAGCATTAAGTCAATTTTTAAATCATAGCTGAATAGAAAAATATTAGCTAAATGACTAGCAAATCAATATTCAAATAAGAGGTGCTCCAGACTGAAAAAAAAAAAAAAACCTGCAGAGAAACAAGTAGCAGTGGTTCATACAAGTCTTCTGATTTATTTTTAAAAATTAAAGATTTTTTTTTAAATCCCCATGCCAATAAGTAGTCTATTCTCATCATTCATGTATACGTATCTCCCATCAACAGCATATATGGATGAAATATCTATTTCATATAAATCATCTTCCAGCTACTTTGACACTTTAATACTTTCCTCTACTTACCTGCTTGCACTGGAAATGCATGTACTTGATGAGAAGGGCTAGGATTTGAAGTTATTGTTGGAAAGGGAACCGAAAGTTGTGCATTGAGCAGCTGAAGCCGTTCCTTTTTAGCAGTCAGATTCTTTATCTGTTCTTCTAAACGCCTGTTTTCAACCTGAAGCTGGTGTAATGACTTGAGCATTCCTAAAACTAAGAGGAAACATACATGTGCTATCTTTTACAGCCACAAAGTTTTTTCTCTCTTTCATTTCAGTTAAAGAATCTCTCATGATTGTGCAACATTGTTGCTAAAATGTTCAAGAATGAATAAAACCTTCACTATAAATACATACGTATAAAAAATAAAATTGCCAAAAAGAAAGTTATGTGTGAAAATATAAACAGAATTTATTAATAAAAATACACTAGGGAAATCTGACTTTAAACAAAAAGGTTTAAGATCAATTATGTGTAATCTGAAGGGCTGAAACAAGTATGTAGCATGAGATAGTAACTGTCCGATACACTGGCACTCTGGCTTAAAGTTGCATCATTAGGGCTTATACAAACATCAGTACATGGTAACTTATCCTCAAAACCAAATAGAAAAATAGCATTATTTTAGTTACACAGGTTAATAGTGTAACTGGGAAAGTCTACTCCAGCTGTGTTATTAAAAATAAAATTTAATATACTATCAAATAGAAAAAATTGAGATATATGCATTAACTAACAATACAGCAAACCAAAAATACTTATGTAAAAATAAACAGGATATTTTGGAGAGGGGGGGGGGGGGGGGTTTTTTTTTTTTCTCTGTACAATAAAACACAAGCTTACAGAAACAATGAAAATTTTTCATCTATTGTTAAGTTATCTTTGAATCCTGACACACCTTGTTGGCAACAGTATCTTCCATTTGCTTTCAGAGGCGTTCTACAAATCACCCAGCAGGGAGCACTATGTGAGCACTGCAGTTACCACCCCTTTTTTCAAATAAAGGGCATTTTTTGAACTAACATGATTTCTACCATGCACGTTTTCCTCAATTCTGATTTTGTTTCACAACTTGGATTCCTCAACTAGTACTAAAGTGTGACTGTAAAGCCACAGGGAAAGCCATTTTTTTTAATTCTAAATTGTATTTGTTTAACATGACCTCTGGGCCTACTATAGACATAAGTCTACTGGTATAGGCACATCTGGTCATTTCCCAAGGATTTAGCTTTTATCCCTCCTCTTCAAGAACATACAAAGGAACCCTCAGTGAGCCCAAATGAGATGCAATAAGACTTAGCTAAACCTGTCCTCCAGCTATCATGTTTAAAGGATTATCCCTGCATGAATTTCCTCACAATTAGCATTTTTGTCAGGATACCATTCATAAAAATACCAACTAGATACCACTTTATACTACCAACAAGAATAACGTTTTCAATAAAACATAACACAAAAATGACCTGATATTAAAAAAAAATACATATTTTAACTTAATCATTTCCAGTGATACTAATATATTGTTGAATATGGGGATCCAAGTGATCTACTCATCACTTATGCTTTGAGCACACTCACTGTTGGATTATTTCATTTTATTAAACACAAGTCGAAAAAATAAATGATTTCCTCCATTTGTGAATTTCATGAGAAACAGAACATGATCAGGACACAAAAGCATAGCAGGACACTCATCAACATTAGTAAGAATGTTGGGTTTTGGTTTTTTTTTTTTTTAAACAATAGAAGCAGGCAGTTTAGATTTAAAATATCAAAAATAAAACAATGATGAAACATTATGGCAATCCATATCACACGATATAAAGCAGAACTGAGGAATTGTGCTAATTAGCGGTTTATGAGAGCTGTGGAAGTTTACAGAAGTGGATCTGAAAGTTCAGAATTCATTTCCAAACTTTACAACCAACCAGCTCAATCTGCAAGTTACTTCCTCTTGCATGACACTAGTTCCCCATCCATAAAAACATAGGCAATGACAGAGAACTCGTGTGATCTACTGAAGCTAAGTGCTGCACTGAGACCTACGTTATGCTTCTACATGACAGTTATATTTCTATTCACAACAGAAAATAAGTCTTCAGAAATTCTTGGACAATCACTGAACTGCAGTTATTCATAATACAATTAAAAACAGTAGTGGAACAGAATGTGAGTACTTACTGTCACTAGGGGTGCCTTGTTCCAGTAAAAACTGCTGTCCTTCACTCCACTGCCTCTCCAGAAGCTGTTCTATGCTGGCTGCTACTGGGGGCAAATTTTCCCCACAACTGTTCCCTGATTGATCATAGCGAATCTGTAAGCTGCCTACAGGGGATCTGTTCAAAATACAGGAATTTATACGTTTAAGGAAAATGAAAAAGGAAATGTATTAGAGCAAACAGCCACTGAAGTTTTTAACTTCACATCAGCCCATACCACCTACATAGCTTCGTCTCAGAAGTGTAAGATAATTCATCTAAATCACTAAGAACTCCTTGTTCCAAGGCTTTAATGAAAAATGGCACAATACTTCACAGTATGAGAATTTATACTCAGAAAGCCCAAAACCTCTTGAGCATACAGACTAACAAAATACCTGACAAACAGCATCGTATTAAATCATACAATACTATTTCTACAGCAAGAAAAAGTATTATATATAGATACAAAGTACCTGTCTATTAAAAAAAAAAAAAAGAACAAGAAAAAAAAAGACTTCAAACTTTTAGAGAAAACTAAGAAAATTCAAATCATTTATTAAAGTCTGCACAGTAATGGCACTTTCACATAAAAGGTCATATAATTCCACTGCCTGGTTTGTTCTAAAATTGGAACATGTAAAATCAGATTTTTGATGGACTATGTGAAAATACTATTTCACAAGGAACTCAATGAACATTAAAGCTGTCCTCTGCCCCTCCTGTGCACACTTAATATACTTCCTTTTTCACTCATGCTCACACATGGTTCAATGAACAATCTCTTTGCCACATGTCTTTTCTCATTCAGGATAAAATTAAATATTCAGCATAAAGCCACTATAAAAGCTAGGTAACCCCTCAGGTCTTAAGACATAGTTTCTTTTTCATCGGATGGGCAAAATTTAATCTCTGAGCAAATGCAGATGCTCAGTGTACTCCTCAGTCTCAAAATTCTAGTTTCATGTATGTATGGCCCCACTCCTTACCCAAAAACAAAGCCAAATCCCACTAAAAGTAGGTTGGTGTCTTTTTATGAACTCCAGCGACCTCAGATTCAGATTCTTATGCATTAGTTACTGCTGCAGTAACAGCTACTGGCCCTGCCGCAGGATGACAGCTGCACCACTCTTCCAAGAATGCAAACCTACCAAGACGACCACCATAGTCCCAAGTACAGGACAGTATATAGAGCTCAGGAAATCAGTGTGTTAATTATGATTAGTGTAATAAGCAGTGGTCACAGCACATTAGCTGCCTAATGACTGTCAAGCATTTTGTAGGCACCACAGCAAAGCGACTTTTATAAGAAAGGGGTTTAAGTAGGTGACTTAAGAGCCCTGTAGGTATTTATAAATAATTCCTCTTTTGCATACAGAATGAAAGGAAAAAACCAATTGCTAAACACAAACACACACACACACACACACACAAGTGGTGTTTTCCCGACAGGGGATGACAGCTCAACGACATTTAGCAGAGTTCAGCACAGACATGCCAAAACGGACTTCAAAGTAGTTGTCTACACATTGTGCTGAAATGATGAGAAGGAAGATTTTTGCAGAAACATTCTGAACAGATGTACTACACTCCATGCAAACAGTGCTCTAAAATACAAATAAAAACAAAAAACTATAGAACTTCTTTGTCTATATACGCTTTTCAAAGGTGTATAATACTACACTAACAGACTACTCCATTAGCATTATAAAACACCAAAATTTTTGATGGGCCCAGGACTTTCCCACCAATTTCACAAACGTGAAAGCAAAGCAATGTGAGATTATATAACCTCTGCAATCCTACACTGGAAATCTGTACAGAAGGAGAAAAGAATCTACATTTTTCTGTATCTCAAAATTAGTCAATCCATCCTCTTCCAGCTGAGCCACTACTCAATCCATTACATGCAATACAGTTTCTGCATGCAAGGGTTGAATCTTTATTCCAAGCAGAATTTGATCATAGTTTCCCACAGGATTATAACGTGTGACTTTGATGCGCTCACTGTGATAGGAATCCTTTCTTTGTTTCACATTTCACATCTTGCTTACTCTCAAAACTTTTAAAAGTTTCTGGTGTAGTAGTTCATATTCTTTTATCCTTAATTATAATTAATAGTACAACTGGACTGCATTTATATATAGGCAGTGTATATTATTTATATACATATTTCAATACATAACTTTTAATCTAAGGTTAAGCATTGTGCTAACAAAAAAAGTGCTACCGTGGGAAAAGGAGCAATGCCTTTGCAAAATGGAAACTTGCATACACCAGTTTTATATATATAAAATAAGCATATTTTAAATAGGTTATACTTTTCAATATGAGAGCTTAAAGAAAGAAAAACACTCTGGTTATACAGGGATAAAGAATAACGCTAGGAATCTGAAATGACCATACAGTTCACGAGTCGCATACATCATCTCAGAAGAGCTGCAATCAGTTCCATCATCAACAACAATCATTGCTGCAAATTTTTTTATTCTCAACAACTATTTGAAATTTAACTGACTCTTTCAGAAACGGGTGTATTTTATGGATCTCATAAGGTTCAAAGGGAAGAGAATAGGAAATTGCAAGAAAATAAGTTTTATACATTGAGTAGATAATGTTCAAGGTTGAAAAGTTTTCAGACACCAGATTTTTGAAGTTAGCTTTTATGACTTCAAATGTAGTTTATAATGAATCCGAGTTGTTATTTAACTGGGGAAGGCGAGGAGTTACCTACACTTTTTAGAAGCATCTGCAAGCTATGTATACTAGCAACACATTAGTGGGCGTGATATACATTAAATAGCTAGAAACGCATCGCACACTAGAAACGCATCGCACACTAGAAACGCATCGCACAGTCTTTCTCACTGTACAGAAACTTGCTGACTACTGACCTTAAGTGAATGAATAGGTTTTCTAAATTTTTTCCAGGTTGCATATTTCAGGCTAAGTTTTTCCATGTTTCATGATCATGTCCCTCTGGAAATGGTCATGATTTTCTTTTTTCTTTTTTGTTTCCCCCTTGTTTTTAAAGGGGACCGACCCACAAGCAAAAGCTATCTGTTCCTTGTGAAATGATAGTGCTTCCATACATTGAACAAGACGTGGAATTCTGGGCTGAGATGGCCTTAGCAGCACATAGGATCGCCTTCGCCATCCTCATGGAAATCACCTGAAATTTGACTCTTTACAGGCACTGGGCAATACATATCTTGAGCATACACTCAGTAGAAATACAGTATTTAAGAAGTTTAGCTTCGCAAATATTCTCTCTAAAGCCAGGCCAAGCACAGCTATCGCCTACTACCTCAGATGCACAGAAAACCAGGCACAAGCACATGAACCAAGAAAGCATTAAAACTTCTAATTATAGATTGCACCACAATATATATTAGGTAGACCTCTTATGCACATGTCACCAAGGCTCCGGCCTTTCCTATTTGCTGAGCTCCTCCCCTTGCCAAAAATCCTTTTCAACATAAAATTCCCCATGGTTACTGCCTAAGTAATACCAATATAATTCATATAGGATCCAGTATGGAAAATAAAGTCCTTTAAATACAAAGCTTCACTTAAAATATATGAAAAATGTTACCAAAAAAATTTAAAATGCAATTTTGAAATTTTAACAATAACTAATATAAAAAAAACATTACGTGATACAAACCTAGCAGGAGAATTCTTATTCTTTAGTAGAGGTCAAGTGCATCAGAACAGAAAAATAACTTTTTTTCCCCACAGACAATTGTTGCATTTTTGAAATGGTAAGGGAAGGGGAAGAGAATATTTGCTTCAATATTTTTATTAATATTTATTTTCTCAGAAAGTCTCGTTACTGTAATTTGCAAATCTATGGGATTTTAGACCTTCTGCAAGGATGAAAAAAATTGTAATTATGCCAACAAATCCATGGAAATTATCAGTACATGTGGCTAAAATCATAAATAAATCTTTTAAATTGAGATATGGAGACATCCTTTAAAGCCCTTTAATTTATAAACCTAATCTCAGTTGATATAAAAATAAGTTTCAGGCTATTTTTAGCTATCTGGACATATCAAATGATATATTTTTCATATATCATTTTATATATATATATATGTATATGCATGCTACTTAAACATATAACACATAATAAAGGACAATGAAGTTTCCAAATCTTAAAACATTTCCTCTGCCTGCACTCTCCAACATAAATAACGCTTACCGTGGTGAGAGACTTCCTCTGGGTGAACCTCCTCTGCCAACAACGCTGCGGCTATTATCTCCAAGATCTTGATCTGTAGTGTAAATATTTCACAGCTGATAAACCGACTCTTACTAAGTAAGAGTTTTACAGTTGATGTAGATATTTGAAAAATATCTTAAATCTTTACTTCTTCAGTATTGACGACTAAATACATAACTAGTTTAAGATTGCTGAACTGTAGCATGTAAGGTGTTGTCCTTACACATTTCTGGGGGTGTACCAGGCCATGGATTATGTTCACTTCTTTCATTCCTTTCAGTTTTACAGCACAGAAGTGTGGTTTGCATTTGCAGTACCCTCCCCTCAGCCACTTTTAATTTCTACGGTGAAAGTAATGAATCACAGCTGTGGACAGCTAATCTGTATGCTTATCACAGCAAATCCTGATGCTTTGTATTTTTTTTTTTAACACTTTGCATCCCAAAACAACTCATAAAATATATAATGCATTAAACTTGCCACTACCATCTAACAAGCACACATTATTCTACAGATTTACTGAACACTTTATGAAAACGTATAATTCACAAATTCCTATTTATAAGCAAAAGTATAGGCAAGACCCTTGCTAAAAGGTAGTAAAACAAACAAAAAAGGCCTCATTAAATATACAGAAACGTTTTGCTTGGAAGGACTCAAAAGGGTTATTTTCCCTATGGCCTCTCAATAAAATAACCCTATCTGCCCCCTTCAAGGCTGCCCTCCCCCTATTCTGAGTCAGGCGACCTCCGACCCCTTGGAGGGCAAAGACATGACTGATCCATTCTTGGTAAACTGCTAAACTCGTTCCCTTCCCCCAAACAGGCATGACTACTACGACATGTCAACAAATCCTTATGGGTGGAATGAAACAAAGCAAATCCAGTGGCTCATTAAAACTCCAGAAGAGACCGGATGTTACAAAGTGTCTTCTGGTAAATAGTCACAAGATTATTAAACGCTGTAGAAGTTCTCTAACGGGATCTCTTTCACACAAACTTGTGTGTAATGCAATTTCATGAATTATGCAAATAAAGGTTTAAACTATTCACGACAAAACCCAGAGCTGTGTTACTCTCATTGCAAAGAGCTAAGAGCTGAATACATCAATCACAGAAGCTACAGGAGACATTGTTGCATTCCTCCCTGCTGATGGCTCTGCCAGACAGTTTAAACCCCCCCCCCACACACACACCCACACACCCACAGCCACACACCCACAGCCACATAGCTGTTCTCCAGGACAACTGAGAATTTACTTCCAGCACGTAACAACTTTATACAGACATTTAATAACCAAATGTTGAGCTCAAAAGTAAAATTTAACAGTCTTTTTAAAAACACATAAGCCTGGAAAGTAGCACAGGTTTCCAACACCAATAGCAAGTTTACCTGCTTGACTGTTCTCAGACTGAGCAATAAGTGCTGCCATTGCCGAATTAGGATTCAGCCTATTGCCATACATGTGGGATGGAGGCAGACTGAGAGAGGATCCAGGTAGGGTGTTTGCCTGCAAGAAAACAATTATAACTTGAGTCCTTCTGAAAAAAATGGGGAAATGCTAAATATGTTTTAAGGACGTCTTCCTAATGCACAGTTGTTAGTTCTTTACCAAAATTAAGGTATTTAAAAGAAAAATTTATTATTTTCCACTTAGGAGTACAGAAATAGAATTTGCAATACTTTTTAAATACATCAAGCATTACAATGTGGTTTACAATTGTCTTTTGTCGAGATGCTAATAAAAAAACTTCTAACAAAAATTTACTGCAGCAAATCTTAAAAATACCTAAACTGCATTTTAAAACAACCAACATATAGCAGGACATCCGAGCAATCCTGAAGTATGCACTCAACGCCAGGACTTAGTAGCATGGCGACCATGTGGTTATCCTACTAATTATTTAATCTTATTAAACCATTTACAAAATAAGGGCAGGTAGACAACAGATGTCTCACAAATGCTTGGGTTCCTTACATCACAAGCCGGCTGTGGAGGTCAAAAGGTCCAACTTTCAGCTCTACAGTTTAACTACACAGAGCCATATTTCCTTTGCTCTGCTCCGTCATTAGTAAAACCTGCACACTATTTTGTTACTTCCTATTTTGATAGACTTGGAAGCCTGGTGTTTTTTTGTTTTGTTTTGTTTTTATTTTAAAGAACGCAAACAGCCATTACAAGTATGTTTTCTATACAATAGGGGGCTCAACGAATCACAGCTTTGCCCTGACCCCATATAAGGGACTGTATTTTTGGCAGTTGGCCAGCTCTACTTATTGAAGAGCTCCCAAAGTTTGTGTTCATTCATGTTGCTAACCACAATTCTGAAGGTCTCTGCTGGGACTTGTGCCAAACAAGCGAAAATGAACCCTTAAACAGATGAAGCTAAGGAGGCTGGCCAAAATCTTGCATAATCCAATGCAATAAAAATACCTTCTTCCTTGGCTGCTTATGCTTTTTCCCCTTTCGAAGAAAAGATGTGCTAAATGCTGAGTTTGAGACACACAATCAAAGAAAAAAAAGGCACTGCTGCTGATGAAAAATTCCGCATTTTCTTGCCTGATAAAAAAATTATTTCAGAACAAATAAAAGATTATAATATTTAGAGAGGAAAAAAAAAAAATCACAGATACACAACCTGTGAGATTACAAATTTGAAAACGAATCTTTTAACAAAAATGTAAACAACATTTACAAAAGAAACTTTTTTTTGAAATATGAGGAAAAAAAGAAGATGAAGAGTAAGAAACTCAATTTGTGGGACATTCTGACATGTATAACTGCACACAAGAGACAAGGGAAACATACTGGTTATTACAGCAAAATATTACAGAGTATAAACTGTGTCTCTGGAAAGAATCACACACTACCATTAAGTTTTGGCTTTCAGCCAACATATTAAACTTGATGAATGGACTTTTATGAATTCACACAACTGTTTTCAATGATGCTTTATTTACTATATACTGGTGAGAAATTGTGCCTGATGCTCAAGTTTTTCTACTATCACAAAGTTAGAAAATGCAACAAGAAATTATTTAAACTGATTTTTTTTTTTTCACATTTCATTTTAAAGGTACGTGTAAGATTGCAAGACATGGAACCACGGTTTCGCTTCAAATCTGGTTCTTTTTTTTTCCTTTGCAGAATTACATGTCTCTAGTAGAATTAATCAGAATTAGTCATAAGTCTTAAAATAATATAGGCATTTCCACCTAGCTGCGTATGCCAACAAGTTCCAGAAATACAGTACATTACTACTGTGACACTCACTGATGAAGGCGGCAATACTGCACAACTCCCGCTGTTCTCCTTAATAAACACCTATAGCATAATTCCAACTCAACTATTTTTGTTCGCTAGTAACCTTCAATTGTTTTCCTGTTTTCCTCTTAAAACAAAAACAAAAAAAAACTAAACCCCAAGATAGTTTTTGTCAAGTTCTTCCACTGAAAACAACTTACAATGTGAAAATTACTAGGTACAACTGTTATTTCCTTTCAGATCAGAGAAGACCAGCAAGATAAAAACCTACACATTCTTAATGTAAATAAAATGGCTGAGGTTGTGAATTCTGCTAATGTAACTTTTTAAAAAAAACCTACAAATACTATGTTTTACTTCTATTTAGTTTTAGAATATACCTACAAAACAGGTTTTCCTTTCTTAATTCTAGCAAGTGTACTGCTCACATTTTATGCAGAAACTGGTGTATTTACTCTCATGCTCCCACGTAATTCACTGCAAGGCTACTTAAAACTGTACAATAACAACTACGTATTAACTCATAATACCAAGGCATCTAGAATTAGCAAGGAGAATATACGTTTGACTGAAACACACACAAACAGCTTTAAGAACTTATTTAAATTAAAAGCATCTAAGAATCTTGAAAGCAGTTGCTAAAATGTGTTGAGTAACCATCACATCGCAAAACAAAAGACATCAAAGGAATTAAACAATGTTTGCTAAGTGGACTGATAGATCAAAAGATTTAGCACAATTTAAACAATATCTAAGAACCTGAGTTTTTTCACAAGTGGTGGTTCACCCTAAACTCCACCTCTGTTTATACTTTAAAAGAACAGTAAAGGTGTCCTACAACCAGTTGGAACTACAGAAGTTCTCATGACATCACATATCCTGTGCAACTCTCAAAGGGAAAAGTCACATTAATAAAATTGCTAAAGTACCTGGAGGTAGATTTAAAAAAAAAAAAACTTTTTAAAATGGCAATGTAAAATGGCAAAAATAAAGATTTCAGAAGCTTTATGTGTGCGACAACTTCATCCGACAGGAAAGTAGAGGAGGTGGAGGAGCAATACATTATTTAAAGGTGAAATAGGAGCTTCATGTTTCACTCACAGTCGAAACAAGCTGCAGCAAGCGTTTATTAAAAATATGCAATCATCTTGTCAATACAAATTAAGGTCACAGGACTGAAACATCTTCTAAAACTTAACACTTTTAAAGTTGCAGTATTCTTTGTTTCAATTGATTCTATTTAAACAGTCAACATGCAACACGTGATTAAAATGTACGAACTAATGAAGAGACTGCTAAGCATTTATTCTGAAAAGACTGCAAGTTTTTTTGAAAAGCATTTTAGCAGAAGGGTTTAAGCCAACCTAGAGGTATATAATATTTTGCTTTCATTTATGGCATGTTCAATAAATCAGTAAAGCAATAAGCAGCAGAGCAGCACAGAAGGAAGATACACTGTAATTCAAGGAATATTCAACTGCAATAAGAACAAATGACTGATATTTGATTGATGCTTAAAAGCACTTTCTTTACCTCAAAAAAGTGTGCATATTACTATGAAAATTATATATGCAAGTTAACTAAATTTAATCAATAGATGAAAACATCCTGTGAAGCGTTTAAAATACAGCATTTCTTGTATTTTTACATCACACCAAAACAGTATTTTGCTCTAACAATATGAATATAAAACTTCCTACATTAACAACTGTTAGCATTCATAACTGTACATTAGCTTAATTTTCCAGGGAAAATAGTTCCTTCATTTACAAAGTTAAATGTTCTTTTAAAAAAAAATGAAGCGGAGAAAAAGAAAACAAACTTAGCTGTATACTATTATATTAAAAAGGTCTCAAAATTTGAGAATCTTGGGGCATGCCTGTTCCTCTGTTCCTTTCTAGTTTTATGCTATGAAGTATTTTCTGATAACTGGCCCCATTTCTGTCTCAGCTCCACACCAGCAAGGTTTTAATACTCAGCGTGTGATGAGAGATGAAACCAAGTGTGAACAACTTTCAGGTCCCATGAGTAGGCTGACTGTTGAGGCTGTCAGGTTCAATTGCATCATTCCACATTATTCAATGCCCCAAACTGCTCCCTAATTGTTAGGGGCTTAACATATTCAAAACCATTGTTTAGGCTAATGCTGAAATGCCTACAGTTGAGTTTCCATAAAGCAAGGGGAGGGATTTAATTGTACTTAAACCATTACTGAACTTTCCTCCTTTCATGATAGGACAACAAGGATGGCCTTAACGACCAATTCCAAGACAGCTTCTTGATAGTTTATATTCAATCAACATACCTTTCCCCTTTGTGCTTTAAAAATAGTCATTGCTATTTTGTAGTTTTACATTATAATACTTTGGCGATGCTTTAAAATTAGTGATAGGTCATTTAATACTTACTCCAGTCAATACATACTTGTCAAGAATAATTTTAAAAGGTTTAAAAGATTCTCATTAAAAATAAAAACATATCATTGCTCCTGCATTGTCTATACCCCTTAAATATGACTACCAAATTAATGTGCTTGGGGTCATAATATTTACCTATCATACTGTTTGTTTGGTTTTTGGTGTTTTTTTTTTTTTTAAACAATTCTAGCACCATGCTGCAACAGAAAGCACAAAACTTCCCTCTGTTCGTAACACAAACTGAAGAAACAGAGAGCACTAGATAACACTACAAGCAAACTACTTCTGAAAAACACACAGTAAACTACTTCTCAAAACAGTATACAAAAGACTTGATGCAGGATTTTTTAGAGAATGAAATAAAATAAAGATCCCAAATGAAATGTACAGCTAAATATTCTGGAGGGTTTTCTGTTATACTTTGGAGGAGATATTACTAATGCTTTACATGACAATTGTCTAGCTTCATGAAATAAGAGAGGACATTCAAACACTTGACTTAATAATAGCAGAAGCATACTTTATCTAGGAAACTCTTAAGTCATCTTAAACTGACATATTTTAGTCAATGGCAAGCAATATTCATCTGAAAAATATAGTATTGATAATAACATCAAAAATAAAACCTACATTGTGATTAAATGGGCTTAGACACCCAAAGATATTCATGCTATGTACATAATGGTAATAACAAAGTCAACTGCTTTTTCTGTAAAGTGAAAAAAAAGACGTCTATCAAGTGATAGTTGCAAAAGCAGCCTGCCCGTAAGTTTCACAGTTTATCTTAGACAAATGAAGAAAATTGACTGTATCTCCTGCAATTTTATA